ACGCAGCGCGCTAGGATGAGGAAATTTGAAAAAGAAGAAAAAGAAATCGCGTAATGCGGAGCCTTTTATGTGTCGCTGCGAGTGTTTCCTGTTCTCGTGCTTAGGCGCGCACCGCGCGTCACCTATTGCAGCTGAGTGCTGAAGCCTGGCGAACTTCGATTGCATCACGGCCTTGTCAGGCCTCGCCCACGATGCCCGGTTCTCTGCGCCGTTTCCTCCTGCAGCTCTCTCTTGCCTGTGCATGTGGCACGTCCAACTACATATCGTCAGCGCTATCCTTATTTGGTACCTTCCAGAACAATGAGATCATGAGCCTACTGTCTTCGAACGCGGTGCCTAGCACGTGGCGCCGACTTCCCATCGTTGACGTTGGGACCAATGATGGAACCGACTTCACGATGCCAGGGTCAAAGGTGGGCCACCGCGTGTACAGCTTCGAGCCAAGCCCGATCGTGTACGCCCGCATGCTGCGAAACCTGCAGCAGAATGGAATCAGTGTGGCCAATGACAGCGTTGGCTTTCGGAGCGCCAAAGCGGGTACGGTTCTTCCAACGCACGCAGCGGTGTCAAATGTGACGGGATCAGCTCCGTTCTTGGTGGCCGAGCGAACTACTCTCGACCGTTCGGGCAAAGCCAGTTCGTTGAGCGCCGACGCCATTCCGCGAGGATCACGCATCCGGACTGTTACGGTGCCACTAGTGACGCTTGATAGAATGCTGGCTGAGGAAGACAAAGGCTTGTTCATCCTCAAGATTGATTCCCAGGGCCACGAGTACCACGTGCTACAGGGTTGCGTCCAATACATCCGAACGCATCCCGTCTACTACATCCTGCTTGAGTTCTATCCGAAGGGCTTACGAGCTGTCAACATCAAGCCTAGGAGCGGACGAGAAGTAGGACGGGAGGAGAGGGAGGAGGGGAGGAGAGGAGGAGGGGAGGGCCGGGCCTCTCGCGCGCACGCCTCGAGACGTCGCCACTCCCCCGCCGACAGGTCTCCGTCTCGATGACGATGAACGGCGCCGTCCTTCCGGCGCGCGGCGCTGTGTCGGTCCCCGCCGGGTGGCTGTCTAGCCCCGTGCGAGGCCTCTGTTTGGTGGTGGCCGCTGGTAGGTGCTGGCCATGTTTGTGGTTGCGGCGGAGGAGAGTGGCGTCAAGGCGGAGCAGCTCGCCGGCACGATCCAGAACGACGTGCTCAAGGAGTTCATGGTCCGCAACACGTACATCTACCCGCCCGAGCCATCGATGCGGGTGGTCGCAGACATCATGGCCTTCACGGCGCGCTGCTTGCGAGAGGAGGGGGGGGGGGGGGGGGGGCTCCCTCCCCCGCCCAGGGGCAGCAAATGCCCAAGCTCATTCGTTCATTCGGGAATTCGTTCATTAATCAGGGGCAGCACATGCCCAAGTTCAACTCGATTTCCGTCTCCGGGTACCACATGCAGGAGGGGGGGGCCCACCCCAAACTCGAGCTCCCCTTCCCGCTGGGGGGGGCCCCTTAAACCCCCGCAAAATCAAAGGACCCGCAGGCAAACAGACCCGGACACAAAAAGACCCGCCCACACCCCCACACACACACACACACACACACCCACACACTCACTCACTCACACGCACACAGACACACACACATACTCACACACACACACACGCTCTCATACACATAAACGCTCACCGGACCCCCACACCCCCA